ATGTGGGACTCGATCCCAGGACCCTGGGATCATGACCCGAGCTGAAGGCAGTCGCCCAACCAACTGAGCCACCCAGGCGCCCTGTATTATTTATTTTTAAACCTCACAATAATCTTGCAGAGGTAATAAAACTGGTTCGGGGGGTTGAGAAAGAATGCCCAAAGTCATAAAGCTAGTAAGTGGTGGTTACTGACATTTAATAATAGTAACGACAGATAGCATTGCTTGAGTGTTTACTTGCTCCACAGTTCTAAGTGCTTAACATGAATTAACTCACTTAATCCTCACTGCAACCCTATGAATTAGGTACTATTATCCCCGCTCTACAGATGGGGAAACTGAGGCACAGAAAGACACGTGGGTCACACAGTTAGGAGGTGGTAGACCAAAGGCAGGCGGCCCAATTCAATAGTCAAGTTCTTAATCACCATATCATCCTGGATTTGAACTCAGATCTTTCTACATGAAAAACTCGTACTTTTTACTATCCCATATTGTGACCTGATAAAAGTAACATCTTATCTCTAAGCCAGAGCTAAGTGGAGCTCTGGGGAACTCCACAGCTGTTAAACCCCTACATCCCCTCCCCATCCCAGAATCACCTGTCTGAAGAGAGAAGCCCAGCTCCCTGGGGCTTGGGGAGTCCACGGGCCAAGACCCAAACTTCATTATGATGCCTTCAGATGCAAGAGGCAGCCCCTGAGGCCTAAGCCTGGAGGGACCCGGTGGGTGTTTGGGACGGCATGGGTCAGACCCCCCTCTTGTTGGGTTTTCAGGTCCCCGCATTACGCCCACTCTACGGCTTTCAAAGACTGATCTGCAGGCGCCGCTGTGCTCCCCTCCGCACCCAAACCCCAGCCCAGGGAGCCTGCTCCCCTCCTCCTGCCCCGCACTTTTCCACCGGTCTCGGCCCAGGGGAGAGAGCTCACGGACCAAACACCCACAGTCTGCACCCGAGGCGCGGCCCCACCCCAGACAAAGCCCCGGCCACAGCGCTCACAGCGCCGGCAGGCGTCCGGGACCCCAGCGAGACGCGGCCTTGCGGTTCCCATGGAAACTCCGCGGTTCGCCGCGGCGCGCTTCCGGGTCGGCGCGCGGCGCGCTCCAATGACGTCACGGGGCTACTTTCCGGCCGGTGGCAGAGTCGGGCTGAAGTTGTGGGGCCGGGGGAGCCATGGGGGCCACTGGCGACGCCGAGCAGCCGCGGGGACCCGGCGGGGCAGAGCGGGGCGGCCCCGAGTTGGGCGACGCGGGCGCGGCGGGGCAGCTGGTTCTCACGGTGAGGACGCCCCCGAGGAGGCCGGGGCTGGGCCTGGGCTCGGGCCGGCTGGGCCTCGGGCTCCCAGGACCCTGGCCCGCGGGCGAGAGAACGCGGCGGCTGGTGCTGCCCAGGGGGTTGGCGTTTTCGCAGTCCGACGACCTGGATTCAAATTCTGGTGCCGCCCTCTTAGCTAGGTGACGTGAGCCAGTCCTGTCAACCCCTGAGCTCCAGTTTCCTCTTCTGTAAAATGGAGATGATTAGTGCCGCCTCATAAAGTTGTTAAGGGGATGGGGTGTAAATGCGAAGAAAGCGCCCAGCACACCACCTGCCCCAGCGTAGTCCCTCTGTAAACACTGGTTCCCTTCCTCCTGCCGTCCCAGAAAAGGTGGGGGTTGGGACTTTCGAGGCAGGAAACTTTACCTCAGTTCCTCCACCCCGGCAGGGCCTTGCAACCGCCGCCCTCCCGCCTATCCCAGGGTGGGAGAGGTGCTAAAAGTACCCGAGAAACAGGGGTGTCTACGTTTAACTTCATACTCACCCTCCACCTCTACCCCAGTGTCAGGGGCCTCAGTGACATCTGTTCCGTTGGTCCCCACAGAACCCCTGGAACATAATGATAAAACACCGGCAGGTGCAGCGAAGGGGCCGCCGCTCACAGATGACAACAAGGTAAGGCTGGTCCTGGGTATTTGCCTCCCAGGCATTGGCTTGGATGGCACCTTTGGGGTCCCCACTGCACCGAGGTGAAAAGAGATCATCAGCCATTAGAAAGAACACTGGACTAGGAAAGAGGAGAGTCAGCTTCTGTAACTTTGTGTGTGACCTTGGGTTGAATCATTGCCCCCTCTGGACTCATGTACAAAATGAGGAGGTATCATGGATTCAGCAGTGCCTGAGATCCCTAACGTTCACTGGGCTCTGTGGTTGAGGGCTCTAAAGAGGCAGAATAGCATGGAGGTTCAGAAAAAAGTGAGGCTAATAGTAGTATATTTCTCAGTGAAGGGAGAGAGCACAAGATGGACCTACGGGATGCTGATTATATTTCTTGACCTGGGTCGTGATTAAGTGGATGTTCACTAAAACTATTTGTTAAAATGTATAGACTTTGTATTTCATTAAACACTTTAAAAAGTAATACTCATTTCATAGGGTTATTATGAAAATGGAATAAAGCCATACACTTGTGTAGTTTGCGCAGAACCTGGGCATGTAGCTTGTTTTCAGGTGAAGCTATCTGATACTGTCATTAAAGGAGCCTGTGTCAATAATTGGCTGGGCAGACTAGGAAAATATGTTTGGGTCATGGCCCCCGTGTCTCCCTCCTGAATGCAGTTTCACAGATCCCGCCATCTCCATGGACCTCCTCCGAGCTGTCCTGCAGCCTAGCATCAATGAGGAGATCCAGACTGTCTTCAACAAGTACATGAAGGTGAGAGCGACAGAGACCCATGGGTGGGCCTTTCCTACATAACAATCCCCCTGGCTCTCTCTAGGACGCACAGATGTGTAAAGTCTTCCAATTATGAACTCCTGAGAACTTTTACCCCCTCTCTTCGGGGGTAATTTAAATACCTCTTCTGCCAAGCTATTATGAGGACAAAATAAGTTAAGCATAATGTGCTCGGCACCATGCTTCAAATAAGTGTTTTTATTACTTGTTTTACAGTATCAACATTATTATTATTTAAAATTCCTTTCTAGGCCTCTAAGTAAACTTCTACATGACTCTACCTGATTGTCCCATAGATGCTTCAAACAGCATATTCAGAACTGAACTTTTTCTTCCTAAACCTCTTCCTCTTGTGTTTATTCATTCAAGAAGTATTTACTGAGCTCCCACCATAATAGCACTGTTCAAGGCACTGAGGATGTAATAGCGAATGAAATGAACAGTGTCCCTGCCCTCTTTAGACAGATACATACTACATTAGGGAACGCCGGAGAGAAGGGGGAGAGAGTGACCAGTGGGGAACAGTAGTGGTGTTTCATAGATTGTGTCCGGGAAAGCCACATGTGAGCAGAGACCTGAGTAAAGGGAGGGAAAAACAAGCTATGCGGACACATCAGGGGAAAGCAGTCCAGGCAGAGGGAACAAGGGCAAACGCCCTGAGGCAGGAGTGTGCTTGGCACATTCAAAGCAACAAAGTCTCCAGTGTGGCTGGAGCAGACTGAGGCAGGAGGAGGGTAATAGGAGAGGTAATCAGAGAGGAAATAGGGGCCCAATTCATGCAGAACCTTTGAGGCCAACCTTTAAGGATGTTGGGGTTTACTGAGTAAAATAGAGGCTCTTCGAGAGTTTTGAGCAAAGCACTTAATCTGAACATTTTTAAAGGGTCGCTCTGACTGATATGAAGAGAATCATCTGCAGGAGGACTAGTTAGGAGGCTTGAGATGATAGTGGCTTGAGTGTTAGCAGTAAAGGTGTTGGGAAAGAGCGAGATTCCATGTGTATTTTAAAGGTAACAACGAGCTTTGCTGATGATTCAGATGTGCAGGGTAAAAAAACAAGAGAAGTAAACTCATCAGTTATCTGCCCTGGGCAACTATAAAAACAAGCCACCGACTTGCTATGAGGAAGACAGGAATGAGCAGGGGGAATCAGGAGCTCAGTTTGGGACATGTGAAGCTTGAATGTGACTACCATTCACTTAGAAACCGGAAACCAAGGACTCTGCCTTTCTTTCATCTTCCCCATCCAGTCAGAGTCCTGTACATTCCACTTCACAATCTGTCGTGCCCTTCTTCCTTGCCTCCGCCTTGGTTCAGGCTTTCATTTTCTCTTACCCAGGCTCCTCCTGTAATCCCCAAATGCCGCTCTTCTTCCCCTCTTTCATCCCACTCTCCCTACAGATGCCAGTGACCTCTAAGGTGTAAACCTAAGGGTGTCAATCCCCTATTTAAAATCCCTCGGTGCGGGCGCCTGGGTGGCTCAGTTGGTTAAGCAACTGCCTTCAGCTCAGGTCATGATCCTGGAGTCCCAGGATCGAGTCCCGCATCAGGTTCCCCGCTCAGCGGGGAATCTGCTTCTCCCTCTGACCCTCCCCCCTCTCATGTGCTCTCTCTCTCTCTCATAAATAAAATCTTAAAAAAATAAAATAAAATAATAAAATAAAATCCCTCGGTGAGCTCTTGGGTGGCTCAGTCAATTAGGTGTATGACTTCAGCTCAGGTCATGATCTCCGGGTCCAGGGGTGGAGCCCTATGTCAGGCTCCCTGCTCAGGGGGGAGTCTGCTTCTCCCTCTGCCCCTTCCCACAGCTCGTGCGTGCACGCGTGCTCACTCACTCCCTCTCTCTCAAATAAGTGAATGAAGTCTTTTTTAAAAAAGAGAAAAAAATGGAAAGGAAAACATTTTTTCCTCAAGAAAATTTCTCTCCAGAAGCTCGTACAATTTTGTATTTATCCCAGCAGCATTTGCGAATGCCTTATGCAGGACCAGATTTCAATCTTAGGTCCAGAATCCACTTACAGTCACCCCTGTATATTCATCACACTGCCTACCTCACAGGCTGGCTGTAAAGAATCCAGATTATTTTAGCTAGCTTTCACTTAGCCAGTAATCAACATTGAACACCAGTATTAATCTCTAGTTCTTAGGGTTTTTGGTTTTGTTTTTTAAGATTTTATTGATTTATTTGAGAGAGAGAAAGAGAGAGAGCATGAGAGGGAGGAGGGGCAGAGGGGGAGGGAGAAGCAGGCTCCCCGCTGAGCAGGGAGCCTGACGCAGCACTCGATCCCAGGAACCTGAGATCATGACCTGAGCCGAAGGCAGATGCTTAACCAACTGAGCCACTCAGGCGCCCCAGAGATTTTATTTTAAAGTGACTCATCTGACTGTTCATTTAATTTGGCCTGAAGAATTTTCCTCTTCATCTCGTGAGGTTTCTAATCCACACCTTCTCGCTCTTCTCCTTGGTTAAACATTAACAATATCAGGCATTTGGACTTGGCAAATATAAAATGAAAGTACATCCCCTTGGGGAGTGCCTGGCTGGCTCAGTCAGTACAGCATGCAATTCTTTTTGTTTGTTTGTTTTTGTTTTTTTTAAAGATTTTATTTATTTATTTGAGAGAGAGAATGAGAGACAGAGAGCACGAGAGGGAAG